TTTTTATTCTCCTTTTTTTTTCTCTCTTTGATTTTTATTCAATTCTTTTTTTCTTTTGACTTATTTATTTATTTATTTAGATTTATTTTCTTTTTTTTCCTTTCTGATTTATTATTTTATTTATTTATAATTATTATTATTATTATTATTGAATTGCCCGTCCAGCTCAGTTGGTAAGAGCGCAAGGCTCTTAACCTTGTGGTCGTGGGATCGTGTCCCACGGTGGGCAATTCATAATTCTGACTACCAGAGGTCTCCCATGGAAGCTGCTCTCAACCTGGCGATGGGGGCAGCCTACTATCATACATCTCCCTTACCTCATTATATATGTGATTAGGGTCAACTAATTTATTATTATTATTATTATTATTATTATTATTATTATTATTATTATTTTGTTTTTGGATATGTTTAATATTTATTTATTTTTTTTATTTTATCTAACATTTTCGACTCCTTTTTTAGATTGTAGTTTAAATTTCAATTTTTCGCAATTAAAGACGACTGAAAAATTAATTGGTACCGAAAGGGCGTTTTAAGGGTGCTAATCATTCCTTGACCGTAACCGACTCCCGAACCCGTCACATTTATGGTAAAATACAGATAAGGTAAGATGGTGTCCGATCTACCTAAATATCATTTTAAAATGATCAGTGGTGACTCTAACCACATTATTTCAAGTCGAAGCCCAATGCATATGTATGTGAACATAAGATACGTGAGTAAGGTGTGCACTATGCACAAAACGGTGCAAATCGTAATTGATATTGAGATATGATGCACTTCAATGCCATCATAACCTGAATAAGAACCAACGGTGCTAGACATTGATACACGAATGTACCAAAGTTGATAATGGATAAATACCTAACTAATGGCATGCCAAGTGTACCAACAGTTCTCACTATAACACACAATGAGCTAATGTATCAGAATAAATCCATCAGAATAAATCCATCATAAAAATACCATACTTGGGTAGTTCATACCCTAAATCAATCATAAAAATGATATAGAATATTATAAAAATATTATTTATAAACTTTATAAATCATCCTGTAAATTGGAATGAGGTTGACTTATCGCAAGTCTTCCTCGATCAAAATAAATAAATAAATAAATGCACTCACATTTGCCTCACTACAGAACTTGTATATAATAATCCTAGTCACGAGCTTTGTCATTTCCTTTCGATTCGTTCGGATTGCTAGATTTAACGTAGTCTGACAATATCAAATTATAACGCAAAAATTGTTCGAACTACATATTAGTATCGTACTAATATAAGCTCATTTTAACATTTGAAAATCTATAAAATAAAATCGATAACTAAATCGATATCAAGCAAACTCATAACTCCATTATAACCTCAAACTTATTGAAACACGTCTGCAATTCCATAAATAATTATTCCCAACATGATTCTTCAACTTTTACCAATTATAAAATCAAACAACATATTTTCAATTCTTTCTAGAATTCAACTCAACTTTTCCTTTAATTCATAATGGTCCTTCACCATTATGATAATTGTACATTAATTACTAAAATTCCAGCACTTGAATAAAATACTCAAATCAATTATTCAATATTCAAAACATTATAAATTTCAACCCAAACTTTCCTAAACTTTCGATTTTCAACACTTTACTTTATAAATTTGTAATTCAACCTCAACTCAATATTTAATTCAAAATTCGGCATACTTATAAATTTTCCAGCATTCGATAATTTACTCAAATAATACTTCTCCATTTAAGAACTTGCAAACAAGTCCCCAAAGTTTTGGAACCTTTTGAATTCCACCATCTAACCATTAAAATGAATTCTTTTAGAATTCTTCTCAACATTTACAATTTATTCAAAATGGTCTCTTGTCATTTAACTTCAATTCCAAGCATTCAAAAATATACTCAACATTTAAACATTACTCTTCATCTTCTAATTCATTTCAACTTAAATTCTAAAATTTCCATATTCAGACAGCTTGCACTACCTTTAAAGAATCAGTATTATGTATTGATATAAACACTGGAATTTAATTCCGTTTCTTCCGTTGAAAACTAAAATCGAATAAGAATATATCCATATAAATAAATCCTTCTAATTCATTCTATACAATTTATGGTGAATTTTCAAAGTTGACCAACAGAATATATTTTGTGTAGAATCTGCTGCCCGTTGTTCTGACCTTTCCTCGGTTAAAAATTCATATCTTTTTTGTATACAACTTTAAATTGATTCCCGTTTATTTTAAACAAAACTAGATTGATATACAAAAACAATATATAAAAATCACCTCCAAATAATATTTATATAATTTCTGGTGAATTTTCAAACTCACTGCCAGATTCAAAATCTAAACTGATTTCATTAACTTCATCCTTAGTTCTTCATCAATTCTTACAACCAAGTCTTTAAAATCACTTAACTCTTCATAACACCTAAAACACAAGAAATCAACATCCCTTTCATCAACTCGAGATGAACTTGAACATAAACCCTAGTGATATTCATGTCCAAACGTAGCAAATTGAACGTAGAACATTTTTCTTAACTACACCGAAGTCTAATTCTCAAGAAAATAGCTTCAAAAATGAAAATAAAAAATCTTATCTTGCTGTGTAGACTTGCATTAGCTGAAGATGGAGAGAGAGAGTTTCGTGAGATTTCTTGAGAAAAATATGACCCCCTTATCTTTTATATATAATTAAAAAAATAAATTTTATATTCATTTTGGGTCAAAAACCCAAATTATTCTTAATAAATTCCCACAATTACCTCCATGCCACTCCTTCATCTCTATTTTAATATTATTAAAATAACTGTAAAATTCTCATCTCTCAATTTTTCATTTTGACCCTTCAATTTTCCAAAATTTTAATTTAGTCACTAAATTTTTAAAACTTACATTTTAGTCACTAAACAAAATTTGGGTATTACAGACTTTACCACGTCACTGTTTGCAGAGCAACTTAAATTGTAGGGTAAATTGTATGTTTAGTACTTAAAATATTATTTTTGTTTCATTTTGGTATTTAAATTCTAGAGTAAATTGTACTTTTAGTTAGGGGTATTCAAATAAACTCGTTACTATTAATTGTAACCGTTAGTTGGTGTAACCATTATATTTTACAGGTTAATTAATTGAATCATTAAGAACAAATGATTTGTGTTAATTGAACTGCTAAAAGTGTCTGTTAACGATTACTATTACGGTTACGAATTTTGATAAATTGTTAACTATCAGTTAATCGCTAATTTATGACTAGTTATATTTAGAAATATAATCAAATGATTCCTCCATAATTTTTTTGGTTATCATATTTATTTTATACCGAAGCACATTGAATTAAATTAAACGTAGATGAAGAAATGAAGTATATGATTTAAACTTGATCTTAGTATGTTCTAATATGCGCGTAAGATTTTAAATTAAATAAAAAATTAATATACCTCCTAACTTTTATAAAAATAAAATGTATCTATAAATAAATAAGATATTTACAAATATATATGTTTATATCATCATAAACTTAACTTTTATATCATCGTAAACTTAACTTTTATATCATAGTAAACTTTATAAAATTTGGAAATTTTATGTTGAGTTATCTTTGGGAAAATATTATAATAACTTATAACCAAACCATTAATAAGGGTTAATCGTTAACAGGGTTAACCATTAGTAGTTAATCATTTCTTAACGATTAGGTTACGGTTAGAAAATTTTAGTAATTGTTATAATCGGGGATTGACGCATAATTTTATGTTAAAGGGGACGAACTTTAAAATTTTAGGGGGCGAAGACAAATTTTCAACAGAAATATAAAGAAAATATCTAAAATTTATAAGAAATTAAAATTTTTAGGGGGATACCACCACCTCTAGGTCCATCCCTGGTTATAATTGTTAACAAACCGTTTAAACTAAACGGTACGGTTAACCGACCATGAGTATCTTTGCGTTTAGTGAAAATTTTGAAAAAAAGTTGACTGCCCAAAATTGAATTATATGAATAGTTGAGTGACTAAATATATAATTTTTCTTTTCTTTTTTAAGTGAGTTAATAATTTGGGACAAATGAGATAATGATTTAAATTTCGCGGGTAAAATGTCTCAAAAAATACTTGAGCAACTCAGTACAAAATGCATAGTTTAGGGGGGAATGATGCATATAAGGAATTGTTAGATTTCCTTAAGGTATCGGGCTCGAGCACCATGAATATCAGGAGTATGAGTATCTAATGTTAAATGGTTGAAAACTATATTTGAATATATACTATCTTATATTTACCTAAATTAATACAAAAAATAATATTTAAAACTTTTAATTATCTCTTTTAGTAATATTATTTTTGTAAGTCAAAAATAGATTCACACTTTAAGATAATAAATCATATTATCATACTTAATATTTATTATAATTTATATAAAGTAAGTAACTTAAGTGGTTGGAGGATGATTGTTATCTTTAGAGGCTTCGAGTTCGAACATCATGCAAAATATTTGAATATTCATTGTCAAGTAGTTGAGAGGTTTTTGTAATCACCATAGATTAATAAAAATTATTTTAATTTAATTTTAATATTGATAAAAATTTTATAAAAAATCTCACAAATTAGAAAAAAAAAACTTTATATATTGTAATTGACACTTGGAAATTTAATACCGAAATCTGTCGTTGTATATTAAATTTAATTTAGTAATGTAACTGCTATAATGTATAAGAGACTGGAAATTAATATGTTTAAATATACAATATTGTTACTGCTATAATGTATAAAACGCCTACGTTCTTATATTCGCCATCGGTTTTTTTTTCTGTAGTTTTCACTCACTTCGTTTTCTACCCAAATTAAAAATAAATAAATTTGCCTACTCAATAAATCAAGTTTATCATAACCTAAACTCGTTATAAAAATTCTCTTCAAAATCTGTACACGTTTAAAAGGAAAGGATGTTGAAATTGCACCACAAAAAAAAAAAAAAAAATCATCCCTCAAGACAAACCAAAACTCCATCTAGCTCATATCCTACCACTAAATTCCTCGCTTAGTTTCATTCTCTTAGCACCCGAAGCTTCCAACGTTCCACCAGTTTGCCAATGTAATGAATTGTTAACATGCATGAAGGGGCAATTGGACCCCTGACGACACCCGTTCGACTTGTTATAGAACTTGCATGGTGTTTGAAACTTAGTTTTCAACGCACCGGGTTTTAAGATCTGGATGTGATTCAAATGACTTCCAGTTTGTGGGATATTATATGCTTTAGCTTCTTCCTTTTGTCTTCCATGTTCCCTTATCAGGTTCTTAAAATAGTTAGCATCCTTCACTGTGTTTTCTGCCATTGTTTGCATGGCTGTTGTTGTAGTAATGGCTGGCTGCATTGGCATCGGCATCGGCATCATACTAAGAGCAGGTTGTACCTGGTTCGATGTTGTGTAAGCAGCAGTAGTACCATTTGCTGCCCCATATCCCGAAATCATACTTACGTTCGTACCGGGTAAGGGAAACGATGATGATTCTACTCTCATTGGCATAGAATTCGAAACGATGTCGGCCCTAGAAACCGGCATACTTAACGCAGGTTGGAACTCTTTTACCAAGTGATTTGAGTTTCTATCAGCTGGCATTTGTGATGAAATTGTAGCAGGTTTTGAGCAGGGTAAAGAAGAAAGTCCTGTTTCTGGCTGTGAAACAAATGAAGGTGCATTTACCACATTGCCATCAGCAGCAACACTTGGATGTCCATGATTGTGAATTAATTTGTCAACCATTTTTGGATCACCAAGGATTTTGACAAGCAAATCAGTGTCTACCAAACTTCCCTGCTCTTTGCTTTTCATGACTGTGGTTAAGGCAACCAAAGCAGCTTCCATCATACCAGAGCTTACACCGGGTTTAGGTGCCTCGGTTGCTGAAGCAGGGCAATGTGGCATATTAGGAGTTCCAGAGTTTGACAGACGTGGGGGCATTAGCAATGCTAGTGTCTCAAAGTTAGAGGCCGGTTTTGCTTGAGCAGCAATACAAGAAGATACATCTGCACCCTCATCATCTTCGATTGGCGTTAGAGGAACAAGAGAGATTCGGCTATCATCGTAGCATTCAACTTCTACATTCGGAGAAACAGGACTGCAAAAAATCGGATGATTAGAATTCAGTCAGATAAAAATGGAATTATTAAAGCGTGCAGAAGGACGGAACATACTTGGGAGGAATAACAGAGAGGCGAGGATAAATTGCTTCAAGCACTCTCTTTTCTCGCAGTTTCTGAGCCTCCACTTCCTTGCTTTCTTCACCGGCTACAACGTGCCAGTTAAAATCCAGGGAAAACTGTTTAAATGTGATAGAAAGCAAAAGGTTAAATTTATACTAATGGGATACGGAAGATAATACTAAAAAATAAGTCTTTCTCTACACTAGGGGTACTAAAACTAGATGAGAAAAAAGAAGGGATTTGAAATTGATCAAACGGAATAGATATATCTTCTTACCTTAGGAGGGATTCTCCATTGGATCCTAGGTATCTTAGCTAGATTACACTTAAAACTACCCACGTAATGACCGCCTTCAAACCCAGGGGGAAGGTCAGAAGCACACATGCCACTGGGATGCAATGCCCGTGATGTATTTGCTTGAAGAGTATCTTGATGTTCAACACCAACCTCTGAGGGAAAATCCTCTTTCAGAAACAGCTTCACCTAAGACAATACCCAGAATTAGTCCACTTTAGTAGGTTAATAATTATTAAATCATCTGATTGTGAACATGGGTAAACTTCATGGCATGAATTACAGGTAAATACAAGCTCAATATAGCAGACTTAGAGATTCTAGACAGCTAACAATATATCAGATCAGACCTCAACTGAGAGGAACATAATGGTATGAATTGACAGTTTCTAGGTAAATACAAGCTCAAAACTCAAACTTTTCTGCTTAGCACTGATAAACAGGTAATTTGCATTATACATTTTTAATGACAGGATGATTCAGATAAACAATGCTATATACCCGGAAAACAAAGAACAAAACTAGACATCCAAAGAACCTATCATAGTTCATGTTTCTGTCAATTGGATACCCATAAATTAAATTATGTTATCATCTTCTAATTTTTATCATCTTTCTTTGTCACTTCCCTAGTCAGCATAATCCATAGAATACAATCATATAGCCAGTAAGCATGAAATCAAATTTATGGGGCGTCTGCCACGAGAAACGCAATATGAAATAAGGAGTAAATTTTTTCCAAAGAACATATAAGCTACCAACAAATATTCTTCATGCACAAAATGAAATCAGTATTGATATTGAAATTATTGAACTTAGTGTCTAAACTGCATTAAACTTATACTGATATCCACCCAACTTATCTGCCATCTATACAGGCATGACAAGAATTAATGAAAAGAAAATTCCTGCAGGAACCTAAAGTTGTATGATCAAGTAAATCTCTAAGAATCAACCTACCAACTATTTTCATGCCTTATGTAAACACAGATAGTAATTACATGGAACAAAATCAGACTAAGTTGAACCTCCCACTGAAACATGACAGAACTAGCATTCAACTTAGAAACACATGACAAATTCAGTGCATTTCAGTACAACTTAAGACAGATTGCATCCATCATATACCATACCCATAGTTGATGTGGAACTAAACACTAAAGTCTAGTGCTAATTAAAAACTATTTCTCTTTAACTATGTGACCTCATTAGGCTTATTATGATCATGGGCCAAAATTGAGTGCTAAGCAACTTGTCCAGGAACAAAACACCAACTTCACCCAACCTTTTCATGGTACATTTCGTACCCTGTATTTTGTACATTAAAGTTGTTTATCTTTAGTAACTGAAACTACACCTTTAAAGATTGATATCTAAATAATCAATGAATAAGAAAATATTATCAGATGAAATAATGTGTGTTTCACAACAACCTTTTTACTAAGTTGGCCTATGAAATAATAGTTCCCATTTTGTACCAATCAAGATTTTTTTTTATCACAATTATGCATTTTTAAACCATGAATCCTCAGCAGATTCTTACTTTTTTTGACTCAAAATGGCATTGCATATCCATGGATGCTGATAAAGCTCTTATTACCAATGCCAAAGTTCATAAAATAAAATAATGCAGTTTAGGAGAATCATAATATAAGAATAAAGTTAAGATTATGAGACAGATAAGTTCCTTTAGCATCTTGATTAAGGGTATAAATAGGCTTATATTCTTAAGATCAAGATTTTCTTGATAATTTAAATTATAGCTTTAATGATATATATTACTATTACAAATTTTTGTATAAGATTAAATTTAAATCTATTCTGTATTCTCCAAATGATTTTTAAGTGAAGCCCCAAATTTGATTTATAATTTCTTTTCAAACTAACAAATTTTATCAAATAGTTTTCCTGAGATTCATTAAATATTCCTCTCTTTCCCCCATTATTCATATATCATTCTTGTTAAATAATCAATTCTAGATTAACATTATTTTTAAACAAATTGATAACTGATTGCATCTCTGGGTTATTAAATCAGTATTTCCAGAATCAGTGTTATTATTAACTCGGAATGTTAAAATCTAAAATCTTTCAATAATATCCCAGTTATGATAAATATAAGTCGAATTGATTTTTTTATAAATCGAAAGGTAAAAATAAAGCAAAAGGCATTATCAAGATTAAAATGTCAAATTAAAATTCTTCTTTTTTCTGTTTAAAAACGAGTTAAACAATGAAACCAGTAATGATGGATCGAAGATGTGATAATGGCGGCTATACCTGACAAAGATCAACACCTGGAGCCCAAGAAACCCTGTTGGTTTTCCGCGATCGCTTCATATTTTTATAAAAAGTCTCTAATCAATAAGAATCCTTTATCCCTTCAAAAATTTATCCCTACTCTAAAGATTCCGTAACCGTAGAAGATGAAGAAGAGCTTTTTTTTTTATTTTGAAAAATCAATCAGATTAAGAACTTAATCCGATTATATATTTCGAAAACCCTTTGAAGATCCAATAGCAGTTATGGAAAGCCCTAAAAAATATTTTCAGAGATTTTCTCGCTTTTGAGAGTTCCGAAAGTTTTGAGGGTCGACTATTGGATAATGATGTGGAGAAGAGTGAAAACCCTAGAAATAGGCCCTTTTTATCCTATTTATACGTGATAAGAGAGAGACTGCGCATATAAAAATAGGGAGTATATATCATAATAATAAATACGAAACCCTGTCGGTCAAAATTGCACGGTGAAATTTATGATTATCTCATTTGGTTACGTGTGATATTTTACATCCTATTGGATTTGTATTTTCCTATTTCTAGTTTTAATTGAACGCTGATATTGGAACACCGACGTAATTATATTACGTCTTTCCTTGTTTTTTGAAAAATTCAAATTAAGTTGTTTTTTAATTAAAAAAGTATTTAATTAATACACAATATGTAATAATTTTTTAAAGTAAATTGATTTAAAATTAAAACTAAATTATTATTATATTGAACATAAAATAGAATATAACATGAGAATAAAATAATACATTAATATGACATAAATATATCATAAATATATTAAAATTTACTTAAAATAAATCTTAAATAAAATATAATTTATATATAAGTGTAACATAAATAAAAAAAATTATTATAAATATTATATAACTTTGTATAATTTTTAAATGAAAAAGATAACTATTAATATTTTTAAATTTTGATTCCGATTATATCTAAATCAGTAAATGATAATATAGAATTATCCTTATTTAAATAATTATTATTCAAAAATCATAATAAATTAATTTAAAGACAAAAATAGATTAAACATGATACATGGGATATTTTCGGCTATTTTTTTAATAAATCACACATACATCCATACTGATACATTAATTTTTTTTTTTCATTAAGTCAGTTTGGAAATGCTTCTCGTAATGGAAAAGTGATATTTCACTATAAACAATGTTAAACTTAAAAATCAATTTTATTTTTTACTTTAAGTACATATAATATTTTTTTCTTTAAAAACAAGTATCTCGATTATCATTTCGTAATTATTTTTAAGTTCACATGTCAAAAAATATTGATAACATATTTTTTCTTAATAAAATATTTCATATATAAAAATATTATTAATGAGTTATCATAAAATATTTTTTTATATTTTTTTATAGTTTAACTTAATATATTTTAAATATCATATTATTAATAAATTCAAATATAATTTAAATATTATATTTCAATTTACAACATAATGTCTAAAATAGACAATTTATCTTTTTAACATCACATTTTATCAGTAATCCCAAATAGTTAAATTTTAAAATATATTTTTCAAAAATATTTTTTGCAACACTTTTTAAATCATTATTCATGTTGATTGTTATATATATATAACCATTCAATGATTTTTATTGAATATATTATTTTATAATATTTATATTAAACATACAATTAATTTATTTTTAATTTATTTTTAATTTATTATGAACATTTCATAGTTAATTATATATATAATTTTAATATTTAAAATATATTTTATATATTAAAAATAAATTTTATAAAATAATTTAAGTTCAGATGAAAAAAGAATTAACTTACAATGATGTAAATAAGTATTGATAACTTGTTGGGACCAAATATTATGTATGCATGATTTATATTCCAAACTATATTAATTACTTAGAAATATTTAGATATATTTTATTGTTGTAAAAAGATGTAATTTGAGTGATAAATTTTTATTTAAGCCAATAAATATTGATATTGGTGGTTATATCAAAACTATTTGTTGTTTCATATCATATATTCTATTTTTCCAACTATTTGGTTCTTGTTATACTATTTCAACACCGACACTCTTATTTTTTGGATGTCTTCTGCACTAAATAAATCTTCAATTTGTCTCATTTATATTCTTCTTGTTTGATAAACTATAGTCTATTCATTTTTTCTTTTGCCATTGATGGATGCAATATTGGTGTTAGTTTGTTAAAGTAAATACTTATGGCATATTAACCTTTTAATAACTTATGGCATTTTAGCATTAAGCATTTTCACTTTTCACATAATTCATTACAAGATTTGAGAGATGGGTTATACATTATCAATCATTGCTCACCTTCATTACTAGTGTGCTTAGGGGTATTTTCATAATTTTATCCACTTAAATATATTTTGATAATTTATCACTCTTGAGGGTATTTTACTCACACTAATACATTTAGACACATTTTAGGCTATATTTTTCATTACAAGTAATCCCTTAATCCCATGTTCATTTTAGAGGTCAAATTTTAACTTTTAAGGATTTGTGTATCTATACACGACAAGAGTATAGATATTCAATCCTATTGTATTGATATTCTTTGTAATACCCCAAATTTTGACAGTGACTAAAATATAAGTTTTGAAAGTTTAGTGGCTAAAGTATAAACTTTGAAAAGTGTAAGGACCAAAATTTTAATTTTTAAAAGTTATATATTTTAGCCTATAAATGAACAGTTTGGATTAAAACAGAGATTTTAGTGGGAATCAGATTTTTGGTACGAGATTTTTTGTTAAAAGCTATAAAACAGTAAAGTTCGGTATTGAAATCGGATATTTTGATCGAATCATAATTTTACGAAAATTTGAAGGATGTTAGAAAATGGTTGGAAGTATTATTTTCATATTTTGAATCAGAGAAATTTCGCTCAGAATAGTGCAATTTTTCAGATTTGACCGAAAAAGTGGAATTTTAGTGACTAAAATGCAATTTTTGAAAATTGCATGGATAAATTCAAAAGTCAAAGCCAAGTTGATACATCTTTGACCAAGGAGTATTTTAATGGAAGATAATACAATGACATTTGTAAATTTTCAAGATTTATTAAGGGTATTTTTTAGATTTTTCATTAATTGAATAATAAATTCAATTAATTAGAAATTGTCATGAGTTTTATTTTTTAAATGCTAGAATATTCAAGATAATTAAGCCATTTTTCAGCATTCAACTTCTTCATGGTCGTAAGTTCAAGTCCTAACAAGGTAAGATTTTTATTTTTGATTTTTAAAGCAATATACTTTATTTTTGGATTTAGCTATTAGATAGAGAATTAATCTACATGAAATTCTCTATCATTTGGTACCAATATTTCATGGTGAAGATGATTATGTAATGAGATTTTATGATTTGGGTTTATGAAGAGTTAAGTGATTTTAAAGAATTTGGTTGTAAGAATTGATGAAGAATCTAAGGATGCAAATTAATGAAAACAGTTTAGATTTTGAATCTGGCAGTGAGTTTGAAAATTCACTAGAAAATTCTATAAAAATTATTTGGAGGTGATTTTTATATATTTTTGTTTTTATATCAATCTAGTTTTGTTTAAAATAAACGGGGATCAATTTCAGTTCAGTAAATATTTTTAAGTTGATGTGACATCTTTGACTCGTATATCGAGACATATAAGTGTTAAGGGTGTTACATTTATTGATATCATAGCTATAGGTTTAGCCGATTCTCGGCCTAAACCGAGCCTATATTATGTCAGAAATAAGTACATGCCACTATGATGTCAAAATTATTGATCTGGTATGGTCTGATGATTTTATTTATGATAAGTTTGTGATTTAGTTTAGATGTCGGGTTCGGAAGGCATAAAAGGGGCCACCAAACAAGAGGTTCCTGAGGGAACTGGAAGTAGTAACGAGGTAGAGTATGTACCTCAACGATAGGGAGCACAGACACGTCAGGGAGTATCTGCTCCAGATCAGGGAATGTTTTACAAGCTCTAGGGGCTATCATGGCTCGATATCAGCTAGCTGCAACACATTCCTTTCCTCTGTCTCCACTCCCTCCTTCAATTATGAGAATATCAGTTTCGAAAGAATCAAAAAGTTAAGGAGCTGCAGAATTTAAAGGCGAATCAAACAAAGGTCCAGTAGTGGAATATATGTTGCTGAATGATGTGGAAATAATGTTGGACAGTCTTCACTATTCTGATGATGAAAGATGGGATGAATAATTTCATTTTTACAAGGCCATGCTCGTATATGGTAAACGAACATGATGACACATGTTTCTCCAGGTCAGATCACTTGGTGGTTTTTCCTAGAAGTATTTCAAAAGAAATATATCGGTGAGCAATTTATTATCCAAATGAAGCAGAATTTCTTTAATCTGATTCAAGGTGGTAAATATGTACACGAGTATAAAATGTGAGTTTAATAAACTTGCTCGATATGCCTCGGAGATGGTTCTCACTGAAAGAGACATATGTCAGAAATTTATTTGAGGCCTCCACCCTAGACTCAGGGAACTGTTGTTGACGCAAATTTGACCACTTTTCAGGAAGTGTTGAATAAAGAAAAAGATTTGAAAATGGTGCAAAATGAGAGTTATTTTATAGAGCGGAGATGATAAGCTAAAAGATCATAAGCGTCATCCTCATTTTAGTCTAAAAGAGGTCGAGGTTTTGGTTATCAATGCCAAAATAAAATTTGAACGTGATACTTTCTATCTTTATGATGAACCTATATTTATTTTGATTGATCCGGGTTCTACACATTCCTATGTTAGTTTGAAATTAGTTAAAAATAAGAATATTCCGTTAGAACCTTTCAATAGTGAGATGATAGCTATAAATCCAATGGGTCATAGTGTTAGAGTTACACAGATTAATAGAAATTATCCGATAAAGATTCAAGGGGTCATATTCCCGGCGAATATTTTGGAGTTACCAATTGACGAATTTGAGATTATATTGGGCATGGATTAGTTATCTCGGCATTATGGTTGGGTAGATTGTCGCATGAAGTGATTATTTATAAAGGATATAGAGGGTACTGAGATAATAGTAATTGGAGAAAAAGCAAAATTTTAGCCCAATGTGATATTCGCAATGACAGCAGCGAAAATGATGGAAAAAGGTTGTATGGCTTTCTTAGCGAATGTAATTGACACCCGGACATCTGAAATTTCATTGGAGGATATTCTGACAGTTCGAGAACATTATTCTATTAACAAATATGATGAATTATATGTCAGAGAAATTGCACGACTATCAATGGAAGAAGATGGTGCATTAATTGCATAATTAAGATTGAGACCTTCCCTATTAGATT